TGACTGGCTACAGCTGCTAAAAGAGAACCCTACGCTGACCACTTGTATTATATTTTATCATTTTTATCATATTTTAAACATCTGGTATGTTTACATAAATTGTTAAGGCTGTATTGATTTAGAGAGAGGGAGAAATGAGGGAGTAAAAGTGTGAGAGAGAAGGGAATAAATGAGGGAGAGAGAGTGAGAGAAACAGAGAGAGGTGAGGGAGAAAGAATGGGAGAGAAAAAGTGAGAGTGAAAGAGAAAGGTGAACAAGAGGAGGGAGAGAGGAGAGAGAGGGAGAGGTGAGAGAGAGAGAAGTGAGGGAGAAGTGGGAGAGAAGTGAGGAAGAGAGAGAGTCAGGGAAAAGGCGAGTGAGAGAGAGAGAGAGAGAGAGAGAGAGAGGTGAGGGAGAGGGACAGAAGTGAGAGATAGAGGTGAGAGAAGTGAGGGAGGGGGAGAGAGAGAGAGAGAGAGAGAGAGAGAGATAAATGAGGGAGAGAGAGTGCAAGAAAGAAAGAAAGAAAGAGAGAGATAGAGAGAATGACACTGACTCCCTCTTCTCAAACACCGTGAGAATATCTATCCTCTTCTATCAGCTACTGAGCCCTAGAGAACCATCATCCCCCTCACACACGAGCACACACACACACACACACACACACACACACAACCACACACACACACACACACACACACCCTCACAGCAGGTAGTGATTTCCCAGCGCTCACTCCACAGGAGCCCAGACTAACAAAAGAAACAGAGGAATGAAACTCCTGCAGTCAAATCTACATTCCCTGAAGCAGCTCCAGCATCACCATCCACACCCACTCCTACCTGAACATCTCATAACCCGCACCTACACGTCTGAGAGTCTGACTGACCATAAATCTCATGCTCATTACATTTAATAAGCAATTAGGAAGATAGAAATGAACAAGTTACTTCTGTACTGCTTAGCCAACACCACAGGAATGAGTGCGTCTGTGTTAGCTTCATACAGGTAAATGTACACTACTGTTCAAAAGCTTGTTTCAATAATATAAAGTCATTCTGCAGATATTATGTTACAGATTAATGTATAAAATTATTGTAATATGATGCTTGTATTCCACAACTTTTGGGTTTCAGATAATTAGCAGGAAGCTATAAAAATGTATGAAATCTTAAACGTGTCCAGAATGATAAACGGAGCAATAGATGATAATTAAATGACTGAGAAAGCTGTCCAACATGGAAAATAAAGTTTTAATAAATTAACAACCGGAATTCATATTTCAAAAGTGGTGATCAAATCTTGAGGCAGATATTGTGACAAATAATGTTATTTCCAAACTACTTTAAAGGGACACTCTGAACAAAACGAAAAATGTAACTCTTCCATCATTTGTTGTAAACATGCTTACTTGCATCCTAAAGCAGCAGACTCTATAGTGAAACTTTCTAATTTAAAGATTAGGAAAACCCCCTTCTGATGATGTATCTTGAAGGTGGGAGACACGTATGCTGAATTAAAAGATACAATAACTGTTTTTTTACGTTTTTGTTTAACGACTTATGAGTTACACTACTGTAATCTTGGTTGTATTTATTAGCCCATAGGTCAGTGGCTAGGCTAGCAGACAGGATTTGTTGACACCACAGGGGTTCCCAATGGTTGTATAATGTATTTGTGTAATGCATGCTGGGTATTGTAGTGAGAGAACACTGATGAATGAAAACAAGAAAACAAAAAAAATTCTGAATTCTGTCAAACCGATGAGGCTGAAGGATTTAAAGCTGAACAGAATACTACGTAACAGAACAAATAACATATTAAACTCCAGGTTTAGGCCGAATTGTCCATTTAAATACTGAATAAACTATCTAAAAATGCTCTTTGGTATTTAGTTTATAATACTGAAATCTACACTGTATACATTATTACTGAGTCAAGTAAGAAAAATAATTTAGAGTTACTATGCAATAAGCGTATATCTTCAAAACTCAAAGCTTCATGTGAGAAGTTCAAAGACCTTTTACCAGCAGGGGTTCCCGAACTAATTAAGTTTCCAGCAGGGTTGGGCAAAACACTCTGAAAAGTAGTGAGGGCTGAATACTGAGTACAGTGTCCTAAATGCCTTCATATTAAAATACATAAAAAAGATCTATATTAAGAATACTTTTAGGCACATGGGAAAAACTTTTTTTAATTGACTTATCAATTAAAATAAAGTTCCAAAACTTCTAATTTTTTTTTCTCTCTCACCACCTGCTTTAGTCCACTGCTGCTCCCTCAATCCCCTGGCACAAGTCCAGTACAACACTGGTGTTAAACTTAACACTTGTAAACATGCCCACTACGGAGTAGATTACTAGTTTTTATCATCCCTCAAAAGAGCTCAGTAACACTGAGATTAATAACTGATCATCACATTGATTTATCAGTCTACTCAGGCTTTAGCAGAGCTCAGTAACACTGAGATTAATAACCGATCATCACATTGATTTATCAGTCTACTCAGGCTTTAGCAGAGCTCAGTAACACTGAGATTAATAACTGATCATCACATTGATTTATCAGTCTACTCAGGCTTTAGCAGAGCTCAGTAACACTGAGATTAATAACCGATCATCACATTGATTTATCAGTCTACTCAGGCTTTAGCAGGAATCGTTAATTGAGGTCCTCTCAGGAATTCGTCTAGCGGCATGTTTGCTACGTCGTGCACTGACTGTAAAATAGTTAATAAACAAACATCAGTGGTGTTTCTTTTGAAGATTGCGTATTTCTTTCATTTAGTGGGCAAATATAATAATAACAATATAAAAGTATTCTCCTAAAAAAGTACAAAGTAATTGTATACTGTGTACACAGTAATTGAATATGGCCTTTACTAAATGTAATGTGGACTGAATACAGACACTTCATTTCTGTATTCTGAATACATATTCCATTGCATCCCAACTCTGGCTTCCAGCTCATCAGCGCATCGTCCAAAACAGCTGTAGTTTTCCTTTACTTTGTCATCATTACATATTAGACTTCATTAACTGGCTTTTTTAAATTACAGCCCGCAGTGTGAGTCTAAATTATTGGCACCATTATGATGAACAACTGACACAACAAGGACGTTGATAAACAACAAGGACCTTTTTGTTCTTCTTCACCAAGGGTGCCAGTCACAGCAGGGTTCAGGCGCTAAGACCGCCGCAGGAGCCGGAGAACCAAAGCTTCTTTTCCATACTGCATCAGTCGCTAGCAGTTTCAGTGTTCTATTAAACAGACCTTTCAACTCTGCAGCCTGCGAGCAATTTAGAGTGATTAGATCTTGTTTTCCAACAAGCGCCAGAAGCCCTCTACTGCTCCACAGTCCAACACACTGCCACTTTATTTGCTCCCAGAAGACGTGTTTACATCAGCAGATGAAACAGTCACTCCTGCTGTTTCTGCAGTTAAACCCTGAAAGTAATTAGACTTCCAACTCATCAGCTCATTGTGTCAAACAGCTGTAGTTTTTTTTCCCCTTTGTCATCATTACATGTGAGATCTCGTTAGCTGGGTGAGGCTTTTTAAGTGACAGTCTATAGTGCGAGCAAGATATGAATAGGAACAAATGACTGATGAAAAACAAAAACAATGATCAACAGAAACAGGATAATGACATAAATTTACTCTATTTTTGCATATTTGTCACGCTAAACGGTTTTAGATTCTCAAACAACATGTATTACAAGACAATGAGAATATAATGAAATGACTGCCCCTAAACATAACAACTGATTGTGCCAGCTTTGGCAGCAACAACTACAATCAAATGCTTCCTATAACTGGAGATCAGTCTTTCACATCGCTGTGGAGGAATTTTGGCCCACTTTTCTTTGCAGAATTGCTTTGATTCAGCCACATCAAAGGGTTTTGGATCATGAACTGCCTTATTGGTGGACTTGCTCTTGTGCTTTGGATCGTCATCTTGCTGCGTAACCCAATTGCACTTTAGCCTCAGAACATTGGCCTGACGATTCAAAATTCTCCTGCAGGATTTTCTGGTACAGAGCAGAATTCATGGTTGTCCAGGCCCCAAAACATCACACTACCACCACCATGCTTCACTGCTGATATGATAAACTTTCACTTTCAGTCCAGAGAACTTTATTTCAAAAGGTTTGAGGGTCATCAAGATTTTATTTTTGCAAATGTAAGACAGGCCTTTATGTAATCTCTTGATTAGCAGGGGTTTTCATGTTGCAACTCTCACATGGATATATATTTTTGCCCAGTCTCTTTCTAATGGTGGAATTATAAACGCTGACCTTATCTGAGGCGAGCGAGGCCTGCAATTCCTTAGATGTTCATCTGGGTTCTTTTCAGACTTCCTGGATGAGTTGTCAGTGTGCTCTTGGAGGAATTTTGGTGGACTGGTCACTTCTGGGACAATTCACCACTGTTACAAGTTTTCTCCATTTGGAGATACTGGCTCACTGTGGTTCCGTGGAGCCCCATGGTCAAAGATCTTTCATAGGTGTTCATTTGTACTGAGATGTGGTGTCTGCAAAGGCCATAGCAAATGACCTACATCATTTTCAAAATCGTCTAACTATTCAGTGACCCCTAGTGGCCTGCGGATGGGGACAGACCACTCCCATCTAGGCAGAAAAGTTTCATTGTAGGATAATGATTATCAGAATAACTTCGTACTTGCAATGAACCATCCCTCTAAGGGGACAACTGGACCTAAACCAAGTCAACAAACAGCATAACAAAGCCACTGGACACCCTCACTGTAGGGGTCAAGCAGATAGGCATGTACCATCATCCTGGCGTATGCTGCACATGCACTCGCCCACTTGTGGAGAACATGGCGAAGCATGACTCATCTGATCAGCTCACTGTTTTCCCAACATCTCTGAAAACCAGTGCTGATAGTTTTTGCACCACTTATCTCTAAAATGTCTTTCATCTTTGTAACAAGGGGGTTATGCACTGCTACTCGAACTGACAAAGGAAGCTAACCACCAGACAGGCATTAGGTTTTTACCTGAAGTGCTTCCAGCCTCCTCAAAGTCAATGTTGCCTAGGTGAAGAACTCCTGCCACCACCCTGAACAGGTCCAGCTTCTCTGCATCGTCCAGCCCGATCTTCTTCATGGCCACCACCATGCGGTTGAAGTCCCCCTGATCGTCCAGCAGGGGATCCTTCAGCGGGCCTGCTTTCAGGTGCTATACACAAAGCAGAGGGTGAGGACGAAAAGTGGAGTTAAGGTTATTTTACAGAATATCAGTACAAGAGTGGCGAAAGCAAACTTAAAATGCCACCACCAGGCAGAGGAGCCAAGTATCAAGGCATGTGTGCACATGCCGAAATCCACTGCAAACAGCACAGCAGCATCAGAGGAGCTCGAAAGAGGACCTGCAGTCCAAAAGAGCACAATGAGTAACTGTGTTATTTGCCATTTGTAGATTTCTGACATTTTATAGTAGCGAAGTGTCCTTCAGAGCACGCTGTAATGAAGGTCACAGCACACTGGCTTTCTCTGGCACTGCAGCAGGACAAACATCTAAACAGCTCCCAACATCAGCAGCACTCATTATCGCTCATCATGCACCCATTACACCTCCATTAGCCTTCTGCGCATCACCATAAGGGGAATGGACTCTCATGTGACCAATAATTTTATCTGATATCAATTGACCCATGCCTGAAATGTTCATGTAGTACCAGTCGCAAGTTTGGATCTGCACAATTCAATCACTGAGATGTAAACAAAGTCATTCAGAGTAGTTTGATGTGAAATGGATCATCATAGAGAAACCTGTGTTTCTTAACAAGCTTTTTAAAAAAATATTTATTTTTTTAATAAAGATGGTATTAATCACAATGTAGCATTGATATTCCTTGTATGTGTAAAGCTCACAGCCAATAACATACGTCATGGAAAAAAACATTCTCAAAAGTGTATATAATTCTAGAATTTTCAACAGTTTTGCAACAAAACCTTTTATATATTTAACAACAACAAGTAAATATAATATTATTTTTCACTATTTAATGTGTCCAATCTTTATTACTTCCGTTCTTTCATTTCTGTACACTTGCTTTCAGTTTTCCAAAGAAATCGGCGGGGATTTTTTTAAACACTTCCAAAGTTCAGTCTCAGAAGTTGGTTTTATTTCTGCTTTTTGGCTGGAAATTAAATAAATGAAGGTGGGCTTTGTACACAGCGCTGTATGAGGATCTTCAGTCCTGTTGGAAAAGCATCTCAAGTGGCTCCTCATGAAGGTGCTTGAGAGAATTCCACGAGTGTGTAAAGCCGCACACAGTGAATGGGAGCTACTTGACGAATCTAAAATAGATAAAAGATAGTTTGATTTGTTTAACACTTTTTTTGGTCAATGCATAATTTCTCAGGTGTTATTTTACAGCTCTGATGTCTTCCCTGTTCCACACATCTTAAAAAAGCAGTAAAAAATCTTAAATAGGTAACTGTGTCCAAACGTTTGACTGGTACTGGAAGGGTCACAGACCTGGTCTTCTACATAAAAAGGTGGTGGACCAGTAGTTGATTAAAGCTCACAACAAAACTGAGCATTTGGCATTTATGCCAATAATCAGAGGATACTTTAGTATATTTGAGAGACCATATGTGTCAAAATGAGCCATCATCAGCCGCTGCAGGGCTCTGGTTTATCCACTCTGAGCTTTGGGCAACCCTTTACACCCCAGCAGGGGCCGGAGATCACACTTAACAGGATACGAATGGCTTAAAATTGAGCCGCTGAATTTGTGTCATGGATTCTTGCGGGGTTCCCCTGGAGCCGGCAGCCGCAAAAGTGCCAGAGTGCTGTGACTTTCTGAGCCAGAGGTCTGGACAAATAGAGAAATTTCAAATACAATCGTTCACTGTGAACCCCCCTGACCCCCCATTCCGTCCCACAGAAGAGAGAAGTGAAATAAATGAAGCAAACAAGAGACGCTAGCTTTGTTCAGCATGCACCTAAAGCCGCTGCAATCAGCACGAGGGGCCTTCCCCTTTCCACCCAAGCAAGGTCAAATAAACATCGAGCGCTGTAGCTTAATGATTGGCACTGTCCCAAATCGCTCGCCTTACCGCAATTCCCTAGGTGACGAGACAAAAGAGTCAGACGCACTATTGTGTGAGAACTCATCACACGAGGTCTTTAACGAAACGCCTCATAAAGTCGTGCACGTTCTTCACGTCTCGGAACGCATAAGGGCGAAAAGGACAAAGAGTCTTTTAAGCGGATTGGGACAGGGCCGATCACTGAACGCGTGAACGTGTGCTCTATCGGAGCGAGGTCAGGTGCTGAAGAGGAGAGAGAGAGAGGAGATGAATCAAAACCACCGCCCGATTGTGTTCCTATAATCACCTTCACGTCCTGCGATACACAAAGAAGAAGCAACACAAAAAGACATTCATCTGAGATTAACATAGCAAGCAGATGGCACCAAATTATTAGTGTGTGAGTACAAAGGAGGGAGCCCCCTTGATTAGAGCATAAACAAAGCCATGCACAAGTCATAATTCAATACGTGAAATCATTACTGCCCAGGAGCCATCCGTGTTATTTATGAACATCTGCCCTGCTGCTAACTAAAGAAATTAATATATACATAAAATTAACAGCAATATATCACAACAGTTCCTTCTGCAATGCTATCAATACAGGAGTTTAATTAAAACAATTAGTTGCGATTAATCACATTCCTTTGTATACTCCATCGTGATTAATCATATTTGTTGACTAAATGTACAGATGCTCTAAATGTTCCCCTAGGCCTGTCAAACAATATACATCATTTATTGTGATTAAACACATTCAAATACCTAATCATATACAAACACCTTGGATAGCTAATTGTTATTAATCGTAATTGTGATTAATCACAATTAATTGTTTATTTATCTCCTAGGGCTGTCAAACGATTAAAATAATTAATTGCGATTAATCACATTACTTTGTGTAGTTAATCACGCTTAATCACGCTTGATCACATTAACTGTATAGGTGCTCTAAACGTATTTCATTTAGGGCTGTCAGACGGTTACAATGATTAGTTGCGATTAATTGGATTATTTTGCGTAGTTAACTGTGATGTACTCTTAAACGTACAGGTACTCTAAATATGCTGTCAAATGATTAAAATAATCAAATGTGATTAACTGTATTACTTTGTATAGTTGATCATGACCAACTGCGATTAATTCTTAAACGTACAGGTGCTCTAAATGTATTTCACACTCAGGGTTGCCAATTTAAAAAAATCAGTTGTGATTAATCGTATCACTTTGTGTAGTTACAAAGCATCTACAGTGGACTATCCAAATAAAGTGTTACCTACGCTTCATCAGAACACAAACAGAAAAAGGATTTATTCACGTTTCCCTAATGTGCATTCTGGAAAAGCAGAAAAACCTTTCATGTACAGGATTCTGAATGTTTATTTTGTAAAATTCTATACATATATACACACATTAAGGGCTGTCAAAACTAATTCATGAAACTAATATGTAAGTTATGCAGTTATGAGGGTTTAAGTGGGTTAATACATCCCCTCATTTATATAAGCAGGCCTATACACTGATCAGGCATAACATTATGACCACCTCCTTGTTTCTACACTCATTGTCCATTTTATCAGCTCCACTTACTATATAGGTGCACTTTGTAGTTCTACAGTTACAGACTGTGGTCCATCTGTTTCTCTGCATACTTTGTTAGCCCTCTTATACCCTGTTCTTCAGTGGTCAGGACCCTCATGGACCCTCACAGAGCAGGTACTATTTGGGTGGTGGATCATTCTCAGCACTGCAGTAACACTGATGTGGTGGTGGTGTGTTAGTGTGTGTTGCGCTGGTCTGAGTAGATCAGACACAGCAGTGCTGCTGGAGTTTTAAACATCTCAGTGTCACTGCTGGACTGAGAATAGTCCACCAACCAAAAATATCCAGCAGCGTCCTGTGACCACCGATGAAGGACTAGAGGATGACCAACACAAACTGTGCAGCAGCAGATGAGCTACTGTCTCTGACATTACATCTACAAGGTGGACTGACAAGGTAGGGGTGTCTAATAGAGTGGACAGTGAGTGGACACAGTGTTTAAAAACTCCAGCAGCACTGCTGTGTCTGATCCACTCGTACCAGCACAACACACACTAACACACCACCACCATGTCAGTGTTACTGCAGTGCTGAGAATGATCCACCACCCAAATAGTACCTGCACTGTGAGGGTTCATGGGGGTCTTGACCACTGAAGAACAGGGTGAAAGGGGGCGAACAAAGTATCAGAGAAACAGATGGACTACAGTCTGTAACTGTAGAACTACAAAGTGCACCTATATAGTAAGTGGAGCTGATAAAAATGGACAATGAGAGTAGAAACAAGGAGGTGGTCATAATGTTACGCCTGATTGGTTTATGTCTCCTCATTTAAAACATTCACAAGGCTAGTGAATACATTTTCGATCATATCTAACCCAGATGGCACCATTAGCAAATCAAAAGCCATGCTATAAGGTCTCACACAGACTGAACAGAGTGACCACAACACAAAAACACACACTTTCATAACCCAAATACACAGACAAAAAAACAAAACAAAAACAACAAAAACATGAACTTCTGAAATGCAGCAGCCTTTTTGTTAGCCTCTCAAAGGAACATTTAAAAAACAGACACAATCACTTTGATTACGGGGCACGACAATGGATACGCCCTTATAATCCTGCGTAATCTATCCACAGACGAGCCCGGGGCGCCGCCTCCTGATGCATACACATATTTCTAATTAATATGAAAACAATCCAGTTGAATGTGATTCCCCGGACAGAGCTGGCTTCACGAGCTTGTAATGAATTAATCATTTCTATTCCCGGAGGCGGGCAGCGCGAGCAATGTCTTGTAAGGGCTATTTCTGCAAACAATAATAATGAATTTGGCTGTTCCTGCAGGGCCACTGCAGAGCAGGGCTGGGTACAGTGGACTCGTAGTGAATAATTAATTATAAGCATGAAGTGTTCTCCTTGGAAGGGCACTAAATCAATTGTGTCTGTTTCATCATCAATACCTCGCAGGTGCTTGTGTTGTGTGTGTGTGTGTGTGTGTGTGTGTGTGTGTGTGTGTGTGTGTGTGTCCTCTAGAATACTTGGTAAGCATCCAATTCCATTCACTCAGGGCACTTCGGAGATAAACTTTGTGCCAGGTAACTTCTCTTCTGGAACATCTCAACTAGTCAAGGGCAGATAAAGGCTGTGTCCCATATCAACTACTTCTCTAGTGTACTAGCCACTAGGGCAAGTGGTGCGTTCACACTGGGAAATGAAACTGCTAAATTTTCAGACCTTCTTATGTCATTATGTAATAACGTCACACACATAGGTTCAAAAAGAAAGTCTGGTTCAATGTTTAGGTCTGAAATTCAAAATCAACATTATACTGATGAAGATATGATGACAATATCAGATCATTCACTTACATTCTCGGAAAACACGACCTTCACCAAGTTTTGACTGAGGTCTCATTCAATACTCTTTCAATGCGCTTGTAGTCATCAGATTCATCCATTTGGGGAAGGGGTCTCGATTACAACCCACATTACAAAATGCTTTTCCGCACGTTGTGTGCAGTTACACATATCCACCAGAGAGGTCTCCAAATCCCCAAATCTTACATAGTGTAGCTTTAAAGTCAGTGTGTACACACTTAAAAAAGATGGTTCTTTAGTAAAGAAAATGGTTCTATATAGAACCATGAACCCTCAAAAAACCCTTTGTATGATTAAAGGGTTTTTTGCATTTTTGAAAAAGGTTCTACCTATCACCAAAAAGGGTTCTCCTATTGTTACAAGCTTGACATCGAAACACTAGCAGAACCTTTACTGGTGCTATATAGAGCTCTTTCCAAAAAGGTTCTATGTAGAACCTTTTACAGCCCATTCTCCATCAACCTGAAGAACGCTTTCACAATGCAAAGAACCATTTATTCACGCAAAGGGTTCTTTGAGTGTTCATGGGTCTATATAGAACCATTTTCTTTACTAAAGACCCTTGAAGAACCACCATTTTTAGGAGTGTATAGTGGGGTCTAAAAGTCCACTAGTGGAAATACTTCCACTTTGCATTCTTTATTTAACTTAATACAGAAGTTTTCATCACATATTACATCATCAGCATAACAATTTGAGTGGAAATGCAATGTTTACATGACTTTCAGAATTTCAATATTTGGTATGTCTCCGTTGCTTTAATGTCAGAGAGTCGCCTCAAGCTAGATCTGACGTTTACATTTAGCATATTTATAAACTTTTGTACTGACCACCTACGTATGATTTGCTTGTTTATCCTATTTTAGTTTATGTTACCTCACTTACCTTTTATCTTAACTTGTTTTACCTAATTTACCATGGTTTTTTTTTATCAACTTGGTTGATGTGATTTTTATCTTTCTGTTTTTTTGCTTAAACTGTTAGAAAAATCAATGACAAAAAAAGTCACAAAACTTTTACACCCTGTTTGCTTCTTGCTTTAAAATGTTTTCGTATCCAGATCATACCTGGATAAACTTTGTCTGGATTCAGTTTATACTTTTCACTAAAATAGACTGACAAGATAAGGTTCGATTTTACTTTCCCGTGTGAAAAACGTTAACACATACGTTGTTTCTGTTACATTTGTTTACTCTTTTCCCCCGTTATGAGTGAACAAGCTCGGCTTGGACACTTTCATTGGCTTGGAGTGCATGAAGACACTCGGCAAACTTCGGCCTCACGTATCCTCTGTCTTCTGTTTCGTTGGTCATTCTCTCATTTGCCAGCAGACACACCTCCGCTCACATATACAACTATCAAACATGCATCCTGTGAATTGAACCACATTGAACTCATGTTCAGTGTGGTCAAGATCTGTCTCTGACCACCTCCGAATGAGGTTTAAGTGATCTGACTGTAGTCCAATGCATCCTGGGTGTGTTTACTGCTGGCTTTTCATGTGCTCAAGTGAAATCCAAACGTGATACAATCCATAAAAATACGTTAATGCAAGGTGTAAACAGGCCCCTAAATGAGTCGCTCCTAATTACAACCACAGAGAAATTAAGTGTTGCATATTGTTTGTACCCAGCAGCTGCTGGCTGACTACAAAGTGGAAGGGGAGGAGCCATCAGAGGAAGCCGTGGTTTAAAATATTCAAAAGGCTGACACAAGCGAGATCACTACTGCCCTGTACCAATGTGAACTACATGTCTTTGTTCATCAAGGTTTTCAGTTTCCTAAAAAGGCATTTGTTTGTACGGAGGCTGTTCAATGACTCGTTACAATGCATAGTAATTTGGCATTTCCGTTTAGGCCAAATGTTTAGACGATACCACCTTACGCAATGAAGTGCACAGAACAGAGTGCACAGTCCCCAAACTGGGGCACAGGTAAAGTGTCCAGGCCCAGTGTGGGCAGTAGAGATTTTAAAGGTTACCTCTGGGCTCTTGCGGTTCTGCAGGATCTGCTTGTCCGTGTCCTTGGTGGCGAAGTAGCGCGTGCATCCCCGGTTCAGGTACTGCGTCAGAGCATAGGGAAAAAAAAAACAGAGGACAGTGGTTAGGAGCAAATATCACGTTCATGCGCAATTAACTGACAAATGACCTACTCGGCTCTCGGCGGTGGCAATTTTCAGTGTCGCTGAAGCAGTGCAGAACCGAAAAACCCCCAAAGCATAAACTGCGAAACGCCAAACGTGGCCCACTCCTTTAGCCCCCGCAACTTCGCCAGACGCTGAGCTAATGAAATGTGCTACAAGGAAATTATATGCAAATTTCATTTAATGACTGTTGCGGGTGTAAGAGTGGGACCGTGGGACAGAATGATTTGTTCCGCACGTTAGGCCTCGTAATTCATCATTTACTTTAGCGAAAAACTTTTCAGCCTTGTTAAAGCTGTAGTTAGGTGCAAATCAAATTTGCCCAGATTTTCCCCTTAACCCAGTTACAGTTAACCAGCCAAGACGTTCTGTGTCTGAAGTTTGCTTCAGTAATTTTGCATTGGAGATAATGTGAGTTACTCATTTGGACAAAAGTACTAACTACTTCAACATGGCTGCTACTGCTTCTAGCATTTTTATAGATAACGGTATGTCCTACAATGTCTACCAAGTCTATCTGAGATGTTTGAAAAGCTCTGTTCTAGAGAACCTTTCAGAATCAGAATTGTTCACAGTGGTGGTGACGGGAGCCAGACATCTGAAGAGTTTAACACCTCTTGGAGATTCCTCATAGAAAGCTGTTACACTGTCTGGTACCTGTTTTACGATAATTTTAGAATCAGATTTGGGCCTAAAATGCTTCTTTTTAAATGCATTCATGGCGAAAAGGTACATGCAGGGCTTTGTTAGGCAAAATAGTCCTTGACAAAAACTTATTTACCACCGTCTTACCATTACCAACATTACAACAGGACACGTGCAGGTTAACTAGTCAATTTGAATAGTAAATAAAATGGCTACATTTGTGTTGTAGACATGGCGACTTCTGGTTCCTATCACCACTGTAAAGAAAAAAGTTTCTCTACAATGAACTATTTCACAACAAAGCGCTCTGAATGACTTTGTTTACATCTCAACAACTGGATTATGCACAAATGTAGAAAAATCTGTGGAAAGTTTTTCCCCACAGCAGCAAAAAAATTAGCTTTACTGTCCAAAGGTTTTTGAACCCTGATCTCCTGCTGTAACATTGCCCACTATGATATTTAATAATATAATAACAAGATCACAAAAATCCCTGTTTTTATTATAATATAAAACCTAGTGTAGTATTAGCACCATTTACTGCCGTTTGAATAGCTGTTGTCCGAAACAACATTATGGAATTTTACGCTTTCTTAAAGAGATTATTACCGCTTCATGGATCGGATTCCCAACATCGTGGTGATGTATGCATATGTGAAAGGTCAGTTACCGATGGGAAATCTCTATAGACGTCCAGAACTGCACCAGAGGGGGCGCCCAGGAGCGATGATGCTCAGTGAACCTGAGCTAACTAAATTACTCTATTCCTGGGTGTTGTGTAAGGCAAGTGTATGATGATTCAGATATGTAGTTTACACAATACTAACTGATGGGTTTTAGGCTTACATCTTAGCTAAGTCAGCTTTGTTGCTCCAGTGTAAACGAAGCAACTAAAGAAGTAAACTTAACTGGACCATTCTACCGAATTAGTTCAAACTGCCGCCTCACATTAAAAAAGCTAATTAAAAACAATTAACATTTACGGCATTTGGCAGACGCTCTTATCCAGAGCGACTTACAATTTGATTATTTTACACAGGTAGGCAAAGGTAGTGTTAGGAGTCTTGCCCAAGGACTCTTAGTGGTATAGTGTAGGGAGCTTACCCAGGCGGGGATTGAACCCCAGTCTACAGCATAGAAAGCAGAGGTGTTACCCACTACACGATACAATTAAGCATTCAGTGCTTCGATATTTAAATGGAGTATGCTTTAACCTATTTAAGTCTTTATTTCAAGGCATTAACACAAATAGTTATGAGCTAAATATATACAAAATCATCAATTACAGGGTACTTCTGATTGGGAGGTGGCTGTCCCAAACCCTAACCTCTACATTCACACTTGTAAAAATGATACGTACATTTTTTAAATGTCTTATTTTATAAAGTTTTTTTTTATTTCATATTTTTAATTTTTTATTTATTTTAAAGTGAAGTTGAAACATTTAGGTTCATCATGAGGTTCATTTATGACCGGAAAAACTATGTTAAAAAATGCTGTCCCATGTTTTCATGTCACTACTGAAATACAGAGTTTCAGTCAATAGCTGGAGCCATATTTTAGCCACACCCCTGCATTTTAGAGCAGGAAGTGAGACTGAATCCCTGTCCCTCACTGCCACATGGTGAGGAGTTAGATCCCATTGTTTTTAAAGTAAATGTGCCCCAAAGTCAGAAAACAAGCGTTTAAAAAGTGTCACTACGAAACATATTTTATGCAATTATAAGTGAACGTTTTTGTGTTTTAATAAAAAATAGTATGATTTTTATGTGTGTACAACTGTTCCAAGCTGTGCTTGCTAGTCATGCACTGGCTAGTGTTTTTGATGTAGAGTTTTGGTAGTGTTAAGATCGTTTTGGCATGACAAAATGGAACATTTAATAGTTAGTTTTAATAAAATAAACAGAATTAGTGGTTCAAAGTCTGTGTTTTAAACTCTGACTTTGAACCATTTTGGTAGAATGATCCATATACATTTGGGGTAAAGAGAAATCTGTGTAAATCTGAACTGAGCTTTTCCGTTAAAGTAGGTGATCGCTCTGCTTTGTTGTGCAACCATTTTAAAAAAAGAGGGAAAAAATGAGAGAAAAAAAACGAAGGTGCTCCAGTAGGTTGTGCTCGGGCTACATAAAAAAATAGATTGGGTTTTGAGTTCTATCCCTCCCACCAACAATCCAGTCGAAATGGCACCTGTGTTGGATTCTACAGTGTCAAATGATAACCATTAAAAAACACATCTGCAGCTCAACCAATTGCATCTAACTAGGCTTTTTTGAGAAGCCCCAGTGAGTCCGACTGTCGGCCAAAACTCATCAGAAATGATGAACAAAGATGTCACTGAAGCACGCGGACCAAATGGGAAAGTGCGGTCATGCGGGTCCAAACGTTCACTCACAAGCTCGCTGTGTAATACAGTACCAGTCAAAGGTTTGGATACGTCCAATAATACAAGGGTTCTCTGCAATTTTAACACATTCCAGCTTCTAGAATAACAGTGAAGACAAACTGAGACAAACATCTCCTTTTTCACATTCTTTAAAGCAGCCCCCATAACACCCCCCCCCAACACATACACTTTTGCCAGGACACTTTAGACACTCTTGGCACTCTATAAAGCAGCATTACACAGAGTCACCTGGGATGTTTTTAAATGTATAAACAGGCACTAACTATACCGTTTATTTGCCATTTCAGCTTCTGCATTGAAATGCAAATATCTTATTACTGTCTTATGAAAAATGTACATTAAGGCCCATCACTGTGGGTTGGCCTCAGGGTTTGGGTTTGGCAGTACAACGTTAAACGCTCTTTAATAAAGAAACTGGTTTTATATAAAACCATGAACACTCAAAGAACTGTTTCCATGATTAAAGAGTTCTTTGCATCGTGAAATCGTTCTTCAGATTGATGGAAAATGAGTTGTATTTGGTTCTATATAGAACCTTTTTGAAAAGGGTTCTATATAGCACCAAAAAGGGTTCTTCTATTGTTACAAGCTTGACATACAGAATAGAATATTAGACATATAGAATCACAATAGAAGAACCCTTTTTGGCGCTATATAGAGCCCTGCTGAAACAAATTCTGTAAATAACAACACATTCCCCATTAATTTGAAGACCCTTTCACGATGCAAAGAACCCTTTAATCATGCAAAGAGCTCTTTGAGTGTTCACGGTTCTATATAGAACCATTTTTACTAAAAAAAAAAACACATGAAGAACCATCTTTTTGAAGAGACAAGTCACATTTCTTGGCCTCTTCTGAAAGGCCAAATAAAGACATTCCACCCATTTATATTTTAGACAGGCTCATTGATTGGTGGGGTGAGAGCTCACCAAGAGGTGGCACTGAGAGAAAAGCTCAACAGCATCTAAGAGCTACGCACACCACATGTTCCGTCTCAGCTTTCAGTCTAACACCAGTCACTCGACTTTGTGCTCTCAGATATCCTCTATTTCAGCATCAGTCCCCTGGAACCAAGCCTGTACTGTGGTGTGTGGCACGTATGACCAGCTAACTAAGCTATCGTTAGCTTAGCCAAAACACCACAGTCCAATAGGCTCGGCTACACTGTTTATAAGGGGCTCCCTCAACATACTCCAAGATTGATTGATTATTTGATTGGTTGATTGATTGGTTGGTTGATCAGTTGGTTGATTAGTTGGTTGATTGAGAACAGTTTCGATTTCGTCTTCGTTTTTCAACTTATCTATCTCAGACATTTGTTTTCACCAACACCTGTTTTAGCAGAGCAGCAGTTGTGCAGAATCAAGCCTGTACTGTGGTGTGTGGGGCTGTCTGGGTCTGCAGTCTCCTTGCTCAGCTAACAGTAATTTAGCCCATCAGGCTACAGATCCAAGCAGCACAGAACAGGTTCGATTTTGGCTTCTGTTACTCCAACACCAGCCACTCGACTTCACTCCCTCAAACATTAGCATTTAATCGTCTACCCTTGTTTCCGCAGAGCCAGTTAAGCCTGCTTTACACTGTGTGATTACAGCAGGCTTATACGTTCACTGCATGTCACACTGCTCCAGCTGCTGCAAATAAAGTCTTCATGTAAGAATGTGAAAAGTCAGTTATGCTGCATGTCAGATTATAGGTTTTCTAGTGACACATGTACGATGCAAGAAAACTCCTTTTTTTGCAGTAGTAGTAGAGCCACGGAAGTGAAAAACCTCTGGCATTCACTTATCAGGCATAACATTATGACCACCTCCTTGTTTCTACTCTCATTGTCCATTTTATCAGCTCCACTTACTATATAGGTG